CAGAGACCATATTGTCACCTTCTTGGTTCGTCTTCTTCACCGGAAACCATCTCCATAACCCCTATTTTCGACAAAAACCCATCACCAACTTCCAACCCTAGTGCTGCCACCTTATCTCATCTAGATTAGGGTTTTCGACGAAGAAGAAAGACGTCGACGGTCTGAAACCCTAACTCATCGGATTAGAAAACCATAACTAGTCGTCAGATCTGAGAGACGAGACTTGCTGGAGAAGAAGCGAGAGACGGAGGCAACGTTTGTGGCTCGAGTTTCCAGACGAAGCTTTCGTCGAGTTGTGAAGATACCGACGTTTACAGATCTAGAATGTCGTCGATCTTGAGGGTTTCCAGACGAAACCCTTCGTCTTCTCCTCCAATCTATTACGTCGTCTCCTCCTTCCATCGTCAGAGCCCTTCGTTGGGGCTCAAAACCTATCGTTGGAGCTGCCTCTTACATCAAACCCTAGCATCGCCGCCTGTCATAGCAAACCCTGGCGATGTTCTTCATATATCTCTCACAGGTCCGAGTTGGTTTAGGGTTTGCAAACCCTAGTTCCGTATGTATTTCTTCGCTTCAGTCGTTCTCCGATTTACGACGGTGGTGGCGACTTCTGGTGGTGGTTGTTGTCCTGCTGCTGATGCGTGATGGTGGTGTTAAGTGGTCCACAGATAAAACGGAGGAGGGGTGAATACATTTTATCTTTTCTTTTTTATTTATTTTAATCAAAAAATAATAAAAGAAAATAAAAGGAAATGGGAAAAGAAAATACAAAGGGTAAAATCATCATCCTCTCTAATAAATGAAAGTTTTTTGCCACTTGTCACACTCATTCAATTTGTCAAATGTCATTTTGTCATAATTTTGAAATATATTTTTTTCCATTTGTCAATTACTTCAACTTTTATTTTTCAATATATCATTAATTTAGTTTCTATAAATTAAACATACCATAATATTATAATAATTTTAAATTTCAAACTTCAATATCAATTTTAAATAAATTTACAGTTGAAACCTTCGTATTTAACATTTTGTTATGATTAATTTTAATTTTATTTTTTTGCATGTTTTTTTATTATTTATTTTTTCATAATTTTTACTTATTTTAAATTTCAAATTCAAATAAATTTACCGTTTAATCATTTGTATTTAACATTTTGTTTTAATCAACCCTGTATAATATACGGGTCTCACAACTAGTTATAAAAATATTCAAAGCAAATTGGACCAAATTCATAACAAAATCAAACTTTTGGACCACTAGTGTTAGTCAAAACATTTTTGGACCAAAGTGACAATTTGAGCAAACCACAATGACCATTTGTGTAGTTTAGTCAGAAAAGAAACAACCATATCGATAACTTGTTATATACGCAACAAGAAAAGGGCGGCGACCCTTCTCTTTCTCGTCTCTCTTCCTTCCGGTCGAATAGCAACAACCAAACACCCTTTACCTGTTGTGTTTCTCCGATCTGTCTCTCTTTGCCTCCATCTTTGAGATATGTTGCCAGAAAAAGAAGAAAGAATCGACGAGGGGGCTACCAGAGCAGCTCCTCGCCGCCAACTACCGTCTCTACTTCCTCCTGCCTCCCCCTTCGACCTTGTTGTTTTTGCCATCATTCCTCCTTGCTACCAGTGATGTGTAGGAACACACAAAGGAGTCGCCGGAGATCGGGGTTCTCCCTCTTTTTCATGATGAATAAAAGTTGGAAAAATCTCGTTGTGGATATGTGGATGCCACCTGGGTATTTCATTTCAACAAAATAAAAGAAAGGGAAAATGACTTGATAGGGTAAGATACTTTTTGAAATGTACACATTTAGTCTTTATTCTTTTTTTTTGTAAAATAAACCCTTCCACGTCAGCAAAACCTGTAGAATCCGGTGAAAAGGACCTAATGTGTACATATTAATAAAGTATAAGGGTTTATTTTACAAAAAAAAAAAATAAGGACTAAATGTGTACATTTCAAAAAGTATCTTACCCTATCAAGTCATTATCCCTTCTTTTCTACATTGTCAAATTAAATACAAATTTACCTTTACATTTCAAAAAACAAATTCCACATCAATTGGGAGGAAAGAAAAATAAATAAATAAAAAGGGTTATTAGGCAACGTTTTCGAAATAAAAAATAAACAATCATATATGATTGTCCATATTAAATGCTTAACATGTTAATAAATCAGTTTAAGTCAAACAGAAACTAATAACCCTTTACATATTAGTTATATAGGTGTATTAGTGATTTTCTTCTTGAATGATTGATATAAGACATAAGGACATGGGGATGATCATTAACATGGTCACTGCCTTTTTATGTTTAAAATCATTTGATTTTTGTTTTTTTCTTTCTACAACGCCTATTTGGAATAGTTTAGAATTGTTAGGTTTAATTTGTTGAAGTTGGTTTGTTGGTGAGCGATAAGTTGAAATTGGTAGTTGTGATCATAAGAGAATTATGTGAGCGAAGCTACTCATGATTGGTGGATAATGAGTTGTATTTAGATTCTATTCCTTTTTATGGGACTTACAAAATTTTAGTTTAATCAAATGGCTGCTAAGCTGAAAAAACAAAATCAGCTAATCTATGGACATACATATGAGTTTATGGCAATTATTCAGAGTTTAACATTTCATTATTATATTGTTTGGTTTGTGTCTATTATATTAATATGTTTACAAAGTTTAACCTATATATATATATATAATATATATATATATATATATATATATATATATATATATATATATATATATATATATATATATATGAGCAGACACACAAGTTGTGAAACATAAATGCTGTATTTTTTGTTTTTTTGAACAAGCAATAAATACATTATTATCCTAAAAAAACTTAGAGCATATATCCTAAAGACTATATAGATAAAACTAAGGGTTGCACATGAATTCTGGAAAACATTAAATAGAAAAAATAGCAACGTACTTTTGGATCGGTATTATGGAATTTGAATAAAATATTCATTGAATGCATAATTGTGGGCATTTGATTATTTTATTATTTTATTTAAAATTATTTAGTATTTTCTATAGATAAGTACAATTTTGTGGAATTCCGTAATTTTGGTGATATTTTGTATTGAGATAACTTACGATGAACTTATCGTCGAACTATGTGGATTTGAATGTCCGTAAAACTTTATATTTCAACAGTAAGATGCATGTGAAACATATTTTATAATGATCCAAAGAAAAGAAAACATACTTTTTAAATTTAAATAAAAATGAATTTTGAGAACAAAAATTGTCATGTCTTATATATATCGGATTGAAACAAATTTATCTCCTTATATATACACAAAATGAGATAGTCTTAATAATATACTGCAATTTATACCAAATGTTGCATAATAATGGTTATTATAAAAATTGAGATTAAACTACTTAAATTAGTTATAAAGATATGTTCACTCTTCATTAAATGTTAGTAGCCCAGAGGTAGCACCCATTGCGATTCTGAAAGAATGTGTACGTACAATAGAAAAAACATAATGCACAGCACTTGACACGTTTCGTTAGTATTTATAATTATAATAATCACCTCTCCTTATGAAAAAAAAAAGACACTTAGTAGTCTAAAAGAGAGCAAAGTGCCATATTTCATAATTAGAGGGACCTCATGACTCATTGTCGCACTCAAATGGAACAAGGTGCATCAATCATCCAAAATATTATTACTTAAGAACACGAGTTTTTTTAACAATGAAAATATTACCTTCCTTTTGCTTGTCTTGTAACGAAAGATATTATCCATACATTTCTTTTTCTAGAAAGTTTCTACGTCTCTACCTATTCTTACACATTATGACAATCTTATCATAACCATGATTATTCATCATTGTTGTTCTTTAATTGTCATTCTATCTAAGATACGTGTTATAACTGATACTTCAATCTAACACTTAACGAGTGTTTGGTTTACTTTGATATACAATTCATATGTTAATAAATATATATAACATGTTAATCATTTTTATATATTATGAAATAAGATCTTAATTTTTTTCTCCCACCAGATGTATTTAATGTATTATGTTTCATTGTTTAAATAACATATGGGTTGGTATACACAAGCATATCTATGAAAACATATTCATATGTTTATATTCTATAATACATGCTTTCATAAACATCATGTTACATAACATTATTATTGCAAATTTGCAATTTCTACAACATATTATACACTTCATTATTGACTTCTATGATGGAAATTAAAAACACATATCATTACATTTGATCAATATGGTTGACATTATTATTATTATTATTATTATTATTATTATTATTATTATTATTATTTTGATACGGACATTCACCATGATCTAAAATTTCATAACGGTTTGATACTTTTGACTATACTTTCCATTATTTTCTAACTTTTATTAATCATATTAACTTTTAAGTATTAAGGGATTGATGATGGTTAAATTCTGATTTCATACATATTTCATAAATGATCCCTAAAGTTTATAGGTTATATTAATTTGGTCGAAGCGCAAAAAAAAAATATTATATTGGACTTAATAGAAAGTTTTAATGGTGTTAGGAGAAGGGCCAAATATGCCACATTTTCAAACCATGCACACTATTTGTATCAAAATTTTAAACTTGGACCAAAACAGTAAGACACTGCCAACAAGGACAAAAACTATAATTTACTCATAGTTATTGTACGAGTATATGAATACAGAAAAAGAGGACAGATTTTGAAAATAAATAGATTACTATTCCATTTTAATAACTATAAGTTTTGCATTGGAACTTAAAGGAATGTAAAAGAATAACAAGTTGCTAAATATTCCATATGAGTATTCAATCTTTCTAGAAAATACAGGTATAACCCTGGTATTTACAGAAGATACACTTAACATCTACAACAAAATTGATATTTTCACTTTGCACCCTCTAACTTTACAAATCTGAACGCAAGCAAACTATTTTAGTATTCTTTTTCCCTTTTCTTTCGTTTAAAGACTATTTCCTATTTTTGTATTGGTAGTAATTCTGGTTGAAACTTAAGTTACGTTTAGACCCCTTATTTTTCAACAATATACAGCTAAGCCCCTTCCATAACCAACGCCTTTTCTTGTGTGAAGATGGCCACCCGTTAACATGACTAACGTGCGCCCTACTACTCCTCTTCACCGCCAGCCCACGTACCTCCGGCGGCCGGTACATGCGGATCAACGGCCACTTTATCCCGTCGAAGAAAGGGTGCCGTTTAATATCCGTTGCACCCCTGGCGCATCCTAGCCGCTGCTGTGGATCTTTTATCAGTAACTTCTGTATCAAGTCCTTAGCCTGCGCCATCCCTCTCGCGCTATCTTCATCAAACCTCACATCACTGGTTGATGCTATATTGCGCAGGGTCGACTCCTTATTTCCTCCTCTAAACGGCGTCCTTCCGTACAACAACTCATAAACCAAAACTCCGAACGCCCACCAATCAACACCGTTGCCGTGGCCATTTCCGCTGATCAACTCCGGCGCTAAGTACTCGTGAGTCCCGACGCACGATTTCGAGAAGGCTGTCGTCGGCTCCGCTACAAACTCCGTTAATGTTTCTTCTTCTGTATAGCTCCGGCCACCGTATAAACCAAAACAATCACTGTGTTTCTTCCTTGTTATCTTGTGAATCCTTTTTTCCAGTTTCGGAACGACGTCGGCGTTGAAGCACAAATCGAAGTCCGACAACATAATGTGTCCGTCTTCTCGGATCAAAATGTTCTCCGGCTTCAAATCTCGGTAGACGATCCCAAGCGAATGGAGATATTCGAGAGCAACCAACACCTCAGCGGCGAAAAACCTAACGGAATCAATCGGTAGCCGGTAGTTAGGTTGCTTCCGGAGCAACGAATGTAGGTCTCCGTTAGGACAGAAATCAATGAGGAAGCAAGTGTAATGAGAGACTTCAAGGTGAGCGTAGAGTGTAGGAAGAAACGGGTGATCCAGGGAGGAGAGAATCCGAGCTTCTGTTTGCACATGTGACAGCTTCTTCGACGTGAGCGAGTTGTTATCAACAACCTTCAAAGCGAAACTCGCGTGATCGTAGTCGCGAAGGCGGCAAAGGAACACTCGGCCGAGGTTTCCAGATCCGACATGGCGGACGAGCTTGAGGTGGCGGAGGTGGAGCGTGCCGTCGGAGGATAGAGTAGTAGCAGCTCTAATCGCCGACCAGTTCGTGTCTGATTTCCGGTGGGGACGAGAGTGGAGGTTAGGGATTTCAGTGGAAGGGGTCCCCGCGGAGACGGAGGACATGCGATCATTGAAGCTCAAGCATAAACTGGAACGAGCAAGACTTGATCGAGCACTGGTGGTGGCGATGGAGGTGGAGCTTGTGAAGCTGAGGTCGAGATCGGAGTCGTGATGAGAGAGAGCATTGTAGTGATAATCGTCTTCCATTGTTGAATGGTGTTATGAAAATGGGGGAGATGGGGTGGGTTTACTTATAGAGAGGAAGAGGAGTGAGTATTTTAATGGAGGTAACGTGTCTGGTCTGGTTGACTCTAACTGTAGAAGGTGCTTGGTTGACTAAAATGGAAGGTGTGGTAACCGCGTAGTTACATTGGGAGTTGGGACCACCAATTTTCACTTTGTGTTTATCCATCAATATTATTATTGCAAATCATACCTTAAATATTATTGAGTTAGATTGTTGTTAAAGAAAGAGTAATGTGTTAGAACATTATTTTTAACAACTTAGATCGATTATAGACAATGAAAAGTCATTTCCCAAGTGGTTGAATCAAAATTGGATGTCATTAGAGGTTGTTTATGGTTTGTCGTATGGGTGTGACACATGGGCTTTACACGGTTGTGTAAAACCTAAGGAAGGGTTTTAAGACTTATAAGAGTGATTAAGAGTTCTTTTAACCTATTTGATTTATTATGGTAAATTGAGATGGGGTAATGATCAGATCATACTTAATGTTAATTGTCGTGTTTATTAGCCTTCAAGGTGATTAAGGGAGCAGTTTGAGTTAGCAATCTATAAGATATCGAGGCGAATACATAGTATTTCGAGTTTATGTCCCCATATGACATCATACTTTCCTTTGCTGTTATATATTATGCATTATTTGTTTCTATATGTACTACTTGTGAATCTTGCAAGTAATGATAATTTAAGACTATAGTTGTGAGAAGAGCTTTCTATAAAACTTGTCATTTTAAAGACAACCAGTGAGTTGTATAACTCATGATCATGCATGTTCATTCATACGGATGATGGGTGATAAGACTTGTGTGGTCCATAAATAATATTAATCCTTTGATATCAAATATTATAAGACTGTGAGTTTGTGTTGGAATATCTATAACGCCTTCACAACATGTTGGACCTTACAACCTCGTCATGGATACACATGTGAACCATCACATGTTACCTAGCATTATATATTTGGAGCCCATTAGGATTTGAGTGTCTAGTGTAAAAACACAATGTCATGTTGTGTTGTGTTCGTGTTAAGAATTCGACACAAAATTTATATGATGTTATGATGTGTTTGTCGTATTTTTCTAACTTTCCTATACGAGGAGTGTTTCAAAACATTCAGACTTTGTTGGATCAGTTATCATGAAGCTAGCAAAGTAAATTGCAAATCTAAGATCAAAATGACATTTTACACGCCCAAAGATCACCTCAAGAAGTGTGTAAATGTGTTGTTTATTTCAAGTAAAAAAATGTGTTCAAGTGTTAGAGGATCTCGATCGTTAATGTATTAGACGATATCACTCCCCAAGAAATCTACAACTCAAAGGAGTGGAAATATTTTTTATAAAAGTCGAAAGGCATTCTATAAAGAGAGCACTTGAGGCTTCATTTGAAAACTCTCCACAAAAATGTTAATACTCCATTAAGACAAAGAGAGTCAAGACGTGTTCATCATCAAGAATTCACAATTTATCACCCACATCTCAACCTCCTTTTCAATTTGATTAGCTTCGTTAAAACGATTCCAACTAGATATGAAAGTCTGCGTTATTATTTTGTGTGAATAATCCTAGTAGTAAAAAAATAAAAATAAATAAATAAATAAATAACTTATCTTGTACTACTATCTAAGTTTTACCTTAAAGGAATCTCATGATAGTAGAACAAGTCGAAGATTAGAAGTTGTACATGTAGTGTTAATATTCCATATCCTTTTTTTTATCAATATTTGTTGGAGAAGTTATCTTAAACTAGATTATTAATTTCAGTTTAGGGTTTATTTTGTACCATATTTTAGATCCAGGTACTCATCATTTCACATATTTGTAACTTGTTATACAACTTGTAATCTTTTACTTTTGCAAAATTCAAGTTTTTTCTTAGTCATATATATACGTTGGTAATTTGTAATCTTTTAAAAACCAGTTACTATGCAAAATTCGAGATATATATATATATATATATATATATATATATATATATATATATATATATATAATTATATATATATATATATATATATATATATATATATAACTGTATGTTAATTTAAACTACTTTTGCGAAGATATTTTACAAAAGAAAACTATATTAAGATCTTTTTTTCTTCTTAACATATCAAGTAGATCATAGATAGATCATAGATCTCCTGTTCCTGATATGTTCAATAAATAGAGTATCATATATTAATATTTCTTGATACGTCAAACATCTCCTTGCTTTTTCTCTTCATACAATCATAGAGACACATATCATAATTAAGACTTTAAGCAATTAACTTTATTTATATAATAATACAATATATACAACAGCTTTATTACAAATTTGCATTTATTTACATGTCGCCATAAATCAGATTTCGTAACATGCATAATATTTTACCATAAAATCCATATTTCTTTACATGATCGACAAGGAATAAACTTTGTAATAAACCCATATTAACAAATTAACTTGCATCATATTTTTTCATTAAAAAAAACAAATGCAACCAATAATAACATATACTTATTGCATTATATATATATATATATTATATATATATATAATATATATATATATATATATATATATCTTCATTTTTTAGATAAAACTGCAAAAATAATCTATGTGGTATGTATTTTTCCGATGTTTAATCCAAATCTTGACTTTTTTGGTTATGTGTCCTTTTAAACTAGTTTCGTTACAGAATTGGCCCCTCAATAAATTGAAATGACTTTAATACCCTTGTGATATTTATTTTCTATTTTCTTTCATTTTTTTAAAATCTAATACTTATTTATTTATTTAAACAATAAAAAATAAGAGGGATCCACCCCCCCCCCCCCCCCCCCCCGCCCTCTCTCTCATTTGAGCCGACAACAAATGAGTCGTACAGATCTTCATTTAATCACCTTAGGATCATAGTGAGCTATATTTGTTTGTCCACTACTAGCTCATGGTCTGCAAATGGGTGTTCCACAAGAATCTTCTTTGCGTAGATTTATGTTTTCAAATCTTAAAACTTGCCAAAATCTGTATCCCTTCTTCTTCACAGTTTCCTCTTTCGCCATCATCATCCAATTTGGCCACATCCATCACCGCCAATTAAACCTCATCCTCACCGAGGAGACAAATTTCTTTAGAAAATACAAAATGCCAACAAAACTTAACAAGATTCTGGTCATCAGAGAACTGGGTACATCGGGAAATTCGTGGTCGACACCATTAACGAATCTAGTAATGTTAAGGTTTGTGGTGATATCAACCATCGGTAATATGGAAATGCCAAATTTATCAGTCGAAAAACACACACACATATGAATCGATTACAGTTCATAAGATTTTAGTTTTGATTACATCTTGAAGCTCACCGGAGTTCATTCTTTCCTCCATCACCATTAATTTGGAGATTTTTAGGTATGTTTCTGGTTTGATTTAAGCAAAATGATTGACCACCATCCTGGAGTGAGAATGTATGGGGTGGGCAGAGGAAACGGGTGTGTGATTACAGATTCGTGAATTCATTATCAAATTTGTATAAACAAATAATTGTGTGTGTGCGTGTGTTTGTCACACTCCATTGAAAGAAATAGCATTTCCTTTACAGTGAACAAAAAATATGCATTTCCATTAGAGAGTTTGATTGATGAATTACATGGAACATCGAGTACAGTGAAGCTGTGGGGTATAATGGTGGTGGTAGTGGTGGTGATAGGTGGTGGAGATGGAAGGAGTGAATAGAGAAGGATGGTGAAAGGGTAGGAGGTTGTCTCCGGCGACAATGGAGATGTGTAACATCCCAACAATCACGATAAAAAATTTCATTTTTCTATTAAGGTAAAATCATTGTTTCCAATCAAAACCCAAGTTGAAACCAAGTATCAAATACAAATACCCCAGAATCAAAGTATAAAAAAATCTCCAAAAAATATAACACCGAAGGATGTGTACCATCACGCCTTCGCCTTGCCCCGATCATCAGCAGTACCTGAAACATAACATTTAAACCGTAAGCCAAAGCTTAGTGAGTTCCCCAAAATACCACCACCCAAACATATAACAACATGCATACTGGGTCCACAGTCATCGGGCTGGATTACCCCTGAGCCCACAGTATGATTCTGGTTTGCCTTTCTGGCCTACATCTCATGTCTGGATTGCTCCTGAGCCCACAAACATATGTATGGCTTGCCCTTTCTGGCATACAGCTTATGACTGACTTGCTCTCGAGTTTGTTGGCTTCTGCACAAAGCAGTATTGCCTCAACCCAACCGCACTATGTCAACATATACAACTGATAACATGTAACAACAAACACATAATCATGCAGATCTTAAAGATCGCTACAACATAACAACATCCTAAACCATGATACATAATCTACTCGCCAACATTGGTGCCTTCGACCCACAAGTACAGTGAGGAAACTCGCCTTACATTCTGAAAAGATAACTGGACAAATCACTGCTCTGAATACTGCCTCTACTAATCACCTACATGAAGAATATGAACTACCACTCAAAATACCCAAAAATGTCCCTAATATCACATTTTGTCAAAATCTTGGTCAACGGTCAAAGTCAAAAAGTCAAGGGAAGTCAAAGTAGACTGAGTACGCCCCGCGTACTCAATCACTATGTTGGGCGTAGTTGCGACTCTTCCAATCCACGGGGCTCTAGCCCAGTATGCGTAGCGTACCTCTTGGTACGCCCATCGTACTCCGTCTGGATCCATTCCTTTTCATTAAGTGCTTATTCCTTAAATACTTTTCATCCAAACTCAGATTTAGACCCAAAACATCGTTCTAAGTCATAAAGTTCCACCTTTATGACTTGCCATGGATAGAAATGGTCCAAAAATTAAAACTTTAACTTAATATTCCACTAAAACATCATAACTCTTGCATGGAAGGGATAGAAGGACCAAAATCACATTTTTATGGTTCTTAGCACCTAAAAACGTCTGAAAGGACAGATCTTATGGTTTA